GGCTAGAGTTCTTTGATGGCTGAACAAGCTCACCAAAGGCAAAGCTGTGGAGCGGAAGTCTGGAATTTGTCAGCCCTTGTGTTACGTGGTCACGCTTCATGGGGTTTGCTGCCCACCCTCCTCGCCTCCCTTGACTTTCTCGTCCCTTGATATGTGTTTCACTTCCTGCTCCTGTCTCTGTCATCTCACCTCCTTGGCTGATTTCACTTTATCCTTCAAAATCACTTCTCAGTTTTTTCCTCTCGCCCCAGAGTCTCCCTGGGGACCTCATTCACCCATGACTTTGACCCATCACTTCTACATACGTGATGCCTGAATCAGTAGCAACAGTCTTGTCCTAAACATCAAGCTGCAGTTTCCAACTGCCTTCTGGAATCTATTTCACACGTTCTTTAAACTGAACCTGTCCAGACGCGCCCTCTCTCTCTGTCCCCACTCCAGTTCTGCTTCCTTCTTTCTAACACAGTTATTGTCACCATCCACCATGTAAACCTTGGGTGTGGAAAAGAATTAACCTAGCAGACCGGAGACTACTAACGTTAGGAAGTTTTGCTTACAAGATCTACCATTGGCTGGCATCTGGGGACCTGGCTAGTAAACCGTTCCCTACACTGATCTAAAGCCTTCCTGAAATGACAATGGCTCACTGTGTCTGACCTGTTTGTACCCAACAATGTGGTTTATGCTGAATGCCTGTTTTCCTTCTGGAAGCCTGGAATTTTGGTAAATGCTAGGCAGAGGGTACCTATGTGACCAGCTCCCAGTTGAAAGTGTGGGAGAGTCTCTAATGAGCTTCCCTCAGTAGACAATACTTGTCAATGTTGCCACATCTCATTGCAAGAGGAATTGAGCTCCTCCTGTGTGAATCCACTGGAAGCTTGGTTCCTCCATCTTCTCTCCATTTCTCTTTCCCTTTGCTGATTTGCTATCTATCCTTTTGTTGTAAACTTAACCATGGATATGACCACATGATGAGCCCTGGGAGTCTTTCCAGCAAATCACCCAACCTGGGGGAGGTCCTAGGATCCCCTGACACATCTTAGTATAATCCTAACCCTCTTTTCCTTGCTATGTTCAATTAATCACCAATTATCATTAGATCTACCTCTAAATTTTAAATTTTAATTAAAAAATGTTTTATTTTTTATTTTTTAAAGATTTTATTTATTTGACAGAGAGAGACACAGCGAGAGAGGGAACACAAGCAGGGGGAGTGGGAGAGGGAGAAGCAGGCTTCCCGCCGAGCAGGGAGCCCGATGCGGGGCTCCATCCCAGGACCCCGGGATCGTGACCTGAGCCGAAGGCAGCCGCTTAATGACTGAGCCACCCAGGCACCCCCCCAAATTTTTATTTTTATTTTTATTTTAAAATTTTATTTATTTGAGAGAGAGAGGATGAGAGATAGAGAGCATGAGAGGGAAGAGGGTCAGAGGGAGAAGCAGACTCCCCGCTGAGCAGGGAGCCCGATGCGGGACTCGATCCCGGGACTCCAGGATCATGACCTGAGCCGAAGGCAGTCGCTTAACCAACTGAGCCACCCAGGCGCCCAAATTTTTTTTGTTTTTAAAGTAATCTCTACACCAAATGTGGGGCTCAAACTCAACCCTGAGGTCAAGAGTCACATGCTCTATGAACTGAGCCAGGCAGGCATCCCTCTGCCTCTAAATATTTAAAATATATCCTGTGTTCACCACCCTCATTGCCTTGAGGCTACAACTGTGACTGCATCTGGGCATTACTCCCCTCGCTTTCCTCCACTACAGAAAGCAAAACCCCAAGATTGGAGAACGGCACCAGGCCAACGTTATGAGGAGGGTCTCTTTCAAAGCCAGTTTCCTCAGGTGTAAGATGTGGATAATGATAATGCCTTTTTCATAGCGTGGCTGTCAGGGGAAAATGAGAAAATGCATAGGAACTTTTATGAGACTATGTAAAGTGCTTAGCACATAACAATCCTTCTGTTTCTATTGATGTTATTCATGATCCGCAGACTGCACTGGTCACTACCCCTGAGGCTCAGCCCAGTCCTAGCATGGAAACCACTTTGTGCAATTAGGACCTCAGTTTCTTACCCTCTAATCTGCAGTGCAGGCCCACCCCAAAGTGCATCTCTGTGGGATCCCAGGTAGCCTGCCACTTCGGGGAGTGCTCTTGTCCTCTGACTAGGTCTCCTGTGCGGGAGAATGATGAGACAAAACTTTCTTGTGGCAGCAGGGGAGGGGGGAAGCCAGAGTGGTCATGGAGTTCTCCAGATACCTGATGTTATCGATGCAAATATTTACAGTTATTGCAGACAACAAAGCTACTGCATGGGACTGAAGGGCCAGCAGCACCACGGGTAATAAAATAGAAATAGAATAAAAATAGAAATTAAGACACACACAGATCAGTATACGGTGATGGATGTGTTAACTAGAAGGGGGGAATCCTTCCACAATGTCTATGGATAACGAATCATCACAGTGTACATTTCTGTTTTCCAAAGTTTGTTTTCAGTATCTTCCGTGACCCTCCCAGGAATTTTTGTCTGACTGAGAAACCTTGTGGGATCATTACAAAAGTTCTCCATAGTTGAAATAATGAAATCATAAAGCTTAAAGATCTACTCAGGCTTCCAAGTATCAATATATTTACCAACAAAGCTGAATTACTCTAAAATTCCATGCTATTAAAAAATCACATAGAAATAACTCACTTCCGATTAAAAACAAACAGGAAAAAAGATCAAAGGCAAGTTGGGTAGTACATTAACTTTATTTTGAATTAAAACATGGAATATGTCATCAAACAAATGGATGTAATGAAGACTTTTTTAGTTCAATTAACAAATGATTTGCATAGGAATTGCTAGTTCTGTCTTAGGATGCAGAGCTCATTGAATTGTGAATTAGATGAACATAAAACAAGAATAAAAAAATAACCATTTACCTGTGTGCCAAATAAACACAATTTTACTTCAAATAGCAGATTTTTGTTCAGTCTTTGGTGAGTGGTTAATATAATCATCTTCCCTGCTATGGATAATGTCATAATCTCACCCAGACCGAATGTGATCCTTCTAAGCTAGAGACCTCTTACCTCTAGTAAGAAAACCTCCATTAAGTATTGTTAAAGCTACTGGATTCATTTTTATGGTCTTAGAATTGATCAACATTTTCCGCTTAAAACAATACGCCAAGGACCACATATCTTAGTGAAAACATTAAGTTTGTGATTTCATCCCATTTTGTCTTTTAGAACTTTGTTATCAGTGTCCATAATACCGTTTTGATTTATATCAGTGATGAGCAACCAGTTTTGGCCTAAGGGCTAACAAAGGGGGAAAAAATGGAAAACATTTAAGACCACACTATTTCCTTTTCAAAATGAACATAGTTTTATGAAATTCCTGTGGGGGAAGTGTATTTGTACTACTTTGCTAAGTAAAAGAAAGTCAGTGAAGAAACTGGCACTGCTTTTTAGCTACTAAAAAGTTTCTATCTGGGTATTTTAGCAATATAGACAGAACTTTCTTTAATTTTTTTATCCAGAAATTAGATTGCAGACTTGTTGCATAGTTAGTCAGGCTGTAGACATCTCTGGGGGCTCTGTGGCTTGCTCATTACTGCCTTTATTGACTAAAATAAGCTGATTTTTATTGATTGATTATTTTATTGATCATAACAAACTTTAAGAGAATATATTCTAATTTCAAAAATTATATTCCATCACTTACTGACTTAAAGATAATGCTTTTAGAACCACTGCAAGTTGGTTAAGAAAAAAAACAACTTTGGGGACTGCATTTCCTTCCATCTTAACATGTCTTTACACAGAACATTGGCTGGAAACCAGAACAGAACATGAAAAGAAAACTAAGGAAGTATTTAAATAACGGAAATACCATCAGCGTTTATTATGGTAGATTATAGAAAGATGGTCTAATTTGTGTGTGCAATTAGGCACTGACTGAGGCATTTAGACACCATTGATTATGAAGTGCATTGAACATAAATTTTGACTTCCCTCCAAGGAATAATTAAAAAAAACTCAGGTTTCTTTCTTGGAATCAATCAGCTCAAGAACATGCATAGATGAACACTTATTAAATACTAATAACAGTCTTTTATTACTTATACTCCTGCAATAGAATAGCAACGTATTGTACTTGCATATGTCACATTTTATCCAAGGACCTCAAAGTCATTAGGTCAAGCAACAGGATTACACAGCATATTAAGTTACTTAGTTATGGCATGGGAAGCGGATTCCCAGCAATAGAACCAAAGTAAAAGTTCAAAGAGACAAGCCTAAATTTCCTGTGGTTTGTAATTTTCTGAGTTTCCAAATTTGCCACTCGCATCCTACCGTACCCACCATATTGATTCTAGGTAAAAATGATTTTTTTCCATGTTAGGAATGAAACGAGGATCACCTCACAAATAAACAATTTCTCTTTTTTATAGTTCAACAGTCCATCTTGGAAAATCACATGCTGGAATGTCAGAAGTGGCTCTTTAATGTAAATTTACACGTCATTGCTTCAGAATCGTGGTTACGATCTTTGGGTAGAAGAAAACATTTTACACTGGAAGGACAGACATCTATGTGTAAAATATGAGGGAGCTATATTTCTTAGCACACTTAGAATTAACACAAAAGCAGAAGTGCTTTGATTCACTGAAGATCACACTTTCAGTCTTTTAAAGGCTTTCATCATCTTGCTTAAACCTCTTCCAGGGTTTAACTCTTAGAGTTTAACGGAGAGACCCAACTTAGTGTGGTTTAAAATGAGTTTCTGTGGACTCCACGAATCTGGCAGGCCCCACAGCACTGGGGTCACTGGCCAGCATGAGAAGCCCATGTAAGTGAGGGCAAGGGGTCCCTGAGTCTTTCTGTTCTTGACTCGGGGCACAGAGCCCAGCTCTTCTTGGTCAGGGACCCAGGGTGGGCATTCTGGGCATTTCCTTGCTTAAAGGAATTTCCAACACTATTTGAAAAGCAATTTCTTTTTGGGCAATGGGGTTTCTATCTTTCAGTCAAATATGGAACTAAGTTAGTTCTTCCTGTGTCCTTCTTTACTTCGGAGGAGACGCAGTATACGTTCATTTTTGGTTAGTTCTGCCGGAAGTTCATTGGCCTGAAAGAAGACAAGACAGGCATTGGTGAATTCTCACAGTTGGGATGGTTTTAGGGACTCCACAGAGGGGCCCCTGACCCAAACTTGCTCCTCTACTGGTGAAAAACCCCACTGGACTCACTCTTGTTTTAAGGCCCTAAAGGTCTCCTTTAATCATATAAATATCATTTGTTATTTTCTTATCTCATCGTTAGAGTTATTTTTCTAAGCCATATCTCTAGTACATCGTGATTCCCTGGAGGCCAGGGTCCATGTACGATTAATCATGGTATCCTCATTTCCAGCACAACGCCTGGTGCCTCTAGTATGTCCTCAGTAAATACTGGTAATGTTAAATTTGATACTTTATATTTAATTAGTATGGGTCAGTGTGTCCGCTAGGGACCTGAGATTCAGGACAGGTATCTGTTGAGAAAACAGAGTTAGGAGGCATTCAGAGAATAAGAGATACCTGGTTAAGAGCAGCTTCTGTGGTCACCACTTCCCCCCGACCCTGGGTTTCACTGAATGTCCTTTCTTCTCATCATGCTGCTGAGACACATTCTTTATGCATTTATTTCATGAGTGGGTCCTTACCCCATGCAATCGACGTTATGGGGCAGTGGTTCTCAAACTTTCTGTTCTCAGGACCTTTTTACACTCTTAAAAATTATTGAGGATCCCAATGAGCTTTTGCTTTAAACTTCTTAGAGATGAAAAGAAGAACATTTAAAAATACCATAATTCATTAAAAATTGTAAATGCACTGGGGTAACATAAATAATACTTACAAAAAACCACATTTTCAAAGACAAAAAAGCTAGTGACAAGAATAGCATTGTTTAACAGATTTGCATATTTCCTGAATGTGTAGCTTAATTGAAGACATTTGGATTTTCTTATCTGCTTCTGTATCCAATCTATTGTGATACGTTGTTTTGGTTAAAGCATATGAAGAAAATTCAGCTTTGTACAGATAGGTAGTTGGAAAAGAGAGAAACATTTTAACAGCCTCTTCAGATCATTGTAGATATCCTCCTTTGATGCTACACCCATACTAAACAAGGGGTAGTTTCTTAAAGGTAACTGCAGTGCGGAATCTGAAGCCTTATCAATGAGGTTTTTACATTAAAAATCCACAGATCTAATAGAATCTTTCCCCATGTATGATTTATAACATCACACACTGGCCATTTGGAAAATATTAGTTCAATGAATTATGCCAAATGTTGACACATTGCATTATACAATCTCAAAAGATCACCTTCATTAATATTAGCACTGATTCATCAGAAAAGCCTGTGTTAAGAAGCCATCAGACTCACGTGGTGGATACCAGTTGTTCTTTGAAGAAAAAATGGCGCTCTATGAAAAAGCAACTGGCCCACTTTGCTATTCAGACAATGGCGTGAGTGCTTTTCCCTGAGACAACCACTGCACCTCAGTAATACGGCAGAAGGGCCGGATGCATACTTCTCATTTCGTTACATAGAATATTAAAAAGATGTATAACAACGGTCCAGATTTAATAAAACTGAAACGGTTTACTGCTTCATCAAAGATGTTCTTAAGTAAGTCTCGTATTTGTGTAAAATAATTTACAAAATCTGTAAAATAACCCACAGAGTTTTGTAAAATCATTTGCTGGTATGGTTTATACCCCTGCTTTGATGTGCAAGGTGCCAATAGTTTCACCCACCATTGCTTTTACGCCATTAAAGCAAACAGCAGTGCAGTGAAAAGGGCAAATAACATCTTTGTATTATTAAGTGTGCTGTTTTGACTTCTTAGACCTCTTGAAAGGGTCTTCCAGACCCTCAGGGGTCCACAGACCATACTTTGAGAACTGTTGTTATAGATGAATCACGGGGTGTTCTTGGGATTTCAGGGGAGGCAGTTAAAGGGTAGAAAGGCACCCTGAATAGGGGAGAGGTCTTAGATGCAGATGTTACCTGTCTCACATATTTTTTCCTCCCATGGCCACACCTGGAAACACCCCTGCTTTATCTGGGACTCCGATCCTAGGTGAAACCCCTGAATTCCCTACCTTCTAGGCTGGGTCCTGCTCTTTGACCCCCACCTGCTAGCTGGGCCCTCACTTGTTGGGAATTATGCACAGAGTTGCTGAGAATTCTGTTTGCCACAAAAGGTCTGCTGCACAGCATGTCCTGTGGCTACACCCCAGCCCACCACAAGGGACCATTGATGCTGATGCTGGATTGAATTGAGCAGGAAATGACTATGCTATGTTGCTATAGACCAGAGGCCTCTCTAGAGGCTTCAGATTCTATTATTAGTTCCTGTAGGAACAGACATTGTACAGGCCTCATGCCTGGGCCAGCACAGAAATGCGCCTGGTAGATAGACGTAAGCTCCATCTAGTCTTGGAGTATATTCAGGAACAACAGAGCTGTTTCACGTGGGTGAACCTTGGTGAGCAGGTTGGCAGGTAGCCAGAGGATCCTCTGTGGTCAGGAGGAAGAGGAGATCCAAGAAGCTGTACTTTATCTACACGCTTGCTGAGTTACAGCTCCTGTGTGTAACCTCTACCACTGAAAAAGGCTTTATATCCTCAAACCCTGTTGTCAAAGTTTGGTCAATCGCACTGCTGCTCCATGTGTCATCCATGTAGTTCTAAAAACCTGGTCTCATGCCTCCTCTTTCCAGGTTGGTCCCCACTGAATTCTCAGGTTGCTGAAGTTGTATGGACTATTATGATGGCTAGTGCCCGAGGCTAGCCCCCAAAGGCCATCTTATTCATTATGGAGCAGGACCAAAGGCCCGTGTTCATGATACCACAGCATCAAAACACTCTCTTTCCCCACTGCTCCTGGGAGAAGCTGTGTTCTGAGTCCTCAGTTGGGAGTATCGGGAACACAGGGCTGGCACCCATGGGGACAGCTACAGTGTGGGGAGTGGCCATTGGGGCTGCTGGTTACCCTCTCCTGAGGCATCAGCGTCACAGTCCCAGAGCAGAACTCCACCCCTGGAGCAGAAGATTGCTTCTGTATTAGCTTAGAAGTCATTTCCTCTGGGAAGCGTCCGGTAGCATCCATTACTCCCTGCTGATAGCTTGTGACTGTATTGCAATCTTTTTTTTTTTTTTTAAGATTTTACTTATTTGATAGAGAGAGATAGAGAGAGCCAGAGAGCACAAGCAGGGGGAGCAGCAGAGGGAGAGGGAGAAGCAGGCTCTCTGCTGAGCAGGGAGCCCGATGCGGAACTCGATCCCAGGACCCTGAGATCGTGACCTGAGCTGAAGGCAGAGGCTTAACTGACTGAGCCGCCCAGGCGCCCTGTATTGCAGATTCTTGTTTAATTGTCTTTATTCCTCAGTAAACTCTGAGCTCTTTGAAGGCAGAGACAATGGGAACTCCATTCACCACTGTCTCCCCAGTATACAGCACCGTGTATGGTATCTAGTAGGTACTCAGGATGCATTGAATGAATGAAGGCAAAGAATACCCCCTTCAAGAGTCCTGGGTGGCTGCCCGAATCCCAGCACCCTTGCTTCTAGAGCTGCCTCTAAGTGGCTGGCTTCTTTGGGGTGGCCGGTGGTGGGTGGGATGGGGGTGGGGTTCCCTGGCAACAACTCCCAGCTCTCTAAGGGTGTATGAAACTCCGGCGTGAGCAGTCTCTCTATAGCTTTATATACGCAAGTAGCTTTATTAGGGACAATCCAAAGTCCGGCATTTTGGTCACTGGAAATTCCCCATAAACCTTATTGCTGAAATCCCAGGAGACAAAGAATTGCATGTTGTTTAGTTTCCATAGCTACTGGATGGCTAAGCAAGAGAGATCAATCTCTCTAGGAAGTCTGTGTCTAGGGTCTAAAGATAAGAGTACAAGTCTGATTTCAGCTGCCTTATCACACAGCCAGGCCAGCTAATGGAAAACAAATCGGAATATCTCAGGAAGAGATAAGCAGAAGTGTTGTCTTCAAGCACTCTAATAGTAAGAACAAGGAAATAATAACTCCACATGCTAAGTAAAATGAAAATAAAAAAGACTCTTGGCATGTTGTCTAATTGCACCTCTTAATGGTTGTTCCTTTTCCAAATGTCATGAAAAAGGTTCTATGTGTTTGCTTTTATTATTAAAGAAATTAACACAGCAATAGATACTTATAAAAGCTCAAATAGCATATAAGTACAAAGTGAAAATTGCTTTTCATACCTTCCTTTATTGATAAGCACCGCTCCTACTTCCTCCTTTAATTTTTTTTTAAGATTTTATTTATTTATTTGACAGTGAGAGAGGGAACACAAGCAGAGGGAGTGGGAGAGGGAGAAGCAGGCTTCCCGCGGAGCAGGGCGCCCGATGCGGGGCTCGATCCCAGGACCCGGGGATCATGACCTGAGCCGAAGACAGACACTTAACGACTGAGCCACCGAGGTGCCCCTACTCCCTCCTTTAAAAGTTCATATTTTAGTGTTCTCTCAAGACCTACCCTCCCCCAGAGATGCCGCCCTCCTCCTCCAGTTCTACACTTGACTGCTAATGTAGATGTCAAATAGGAAAAAATGGGTATTGGGCATCTTCCCACCTCCACGTTTGACCTAATTGTAAACTAAGGATTTTGGCGTATAAAAATAGGGGTTGATTCGGAACAGCGGCGCCAAGTCCTGTTAACAGTATAAGAGCAGGGACGCCTGGGTGGCTCAGTTGGTTAAAATGGCTGCCTTCGGCTCAGGTCATGATCCCGGGGTCCTGGGATCGAGTCCCGCGTCGGGCTCTCTGCTCGGTGGGGAGTCTTCTCCTCCCTCTGCCTCATCCCCTGCCTGTACTCACTCTCTCTCTCTGACAAATAAATAAATAAAATCTTAAAAACAAAACAAAACAAAAAAATAGTATAAGAGCAACATTTCCCCCTTTCTCTTCTACTCTGCAAAGAAAGCTCAAGCACTTGTCAAGATATGCACGTCTGACGTATATAGGATAGCAATAAACTACCAGGGCTTTGAATTTTTTAGGACACTTCTCTGATGATAGAACCCCATAACTCTACTCCCCGCAACTACTACTCCCCACCCTGTCTTGGGAGGCTGCACCATTGTTAGCTCACGGCCATGGATGATAGATACAGGGTTTTTAGCATAATTCTCTGGATCCAGATGCACCGCTCATTCCTCCTACTGACGGCCTGCATGCCCTCACCATGCCGAGGTCTGAAGAGAGGGGCTGGGGCCAGCCTGAGGGTTGAGACTCCTGTCTGAGCTTTGCTCTTCCTCCTAGTCCCCTTCAAACCTTCAAAGGCACGTCAGCATCTAATAGAGTGTCCTCAGGTCCACAGCACACAGCAGGCGGTCAGTCTAAGTACTGCCAATGTTTTTTTTTCCAAGTGAAACAAGAAATCTGGCCCAGGGTGCACAGGACAGGTTATCCTGGCTTAGGTAGAAACTGTCTATCTCTTTGCACAGGTGCCCAGAGGAGTTAAAAGAGAGGGAGGGAAAGGCTGGTACCTTGTTTCTCAGGGCTGGGTCCGCCCCTGCTTCTAGGAGCAGCGCGACTGTTTTAATATTCCCACTGAGTACTGCCGCGTGGAGGGCCGATGTCCCATTCTAAGAGAAAACGACAGTGTGTGTCAGGAGTGGGCTCACAGCCATCAGCACCGAGCCTGGCTTTCATCATAAACCAGCCTGAGTGAGGAGACTCAGGTTGGAGCTTTGCTCTTCCTCACAGTCCCTTTCCAAGGCACATCGGCATCTAATAGTGTCCTCAGGTCCACAGCATACGGTCAGTACACATACTGCCAACGTCCTTTGGCAAGTGAAGCCAGAAATCTGGCCCAGTGTGCACGTGACTTCAGGATCAGTCAATCAGTTTTAAATATATTAGAATTTGTTGCAGCAAAAGCAGTAATGCTATGTCAAACATTTTGTCTTTTTCTTCAAGGACAACATATATAGTTTTCGTGCTTCCAGCGAGGCTGGAGAAATGGCTGGCAAGCCAACAGGCCGACCTGTCAGCCCAGCTACCTGCACGCCACTCACTCAGGTGGGTGGGAGCACCACTGGGGGGTTACAGGGCATGAGCATGTGGGGTGAGGAAACCCCCAAGCCCTGAGATGGAGCATTTTTGAGCACAGAAGGGCCCACTGGATGGGTTGCTGACATTTTATGAAATGTACTGCAAATATTTATTGAACTAAGGAAGCATCTATGTGCAGCACGTAGCCAGATTCTGGGAGGGGAGAGGAAGAGAATATAACAAGCCTGATATAAGAATGATGGGCAGTCACATGACATCTGCTCTGTAGACATGCATATGTCTACAAAAGCATCTAAATGCAAGCTTATTTTCCACATTAGCTTTATAATAATAATAAGCTACTTTATTTTATAAAAGACTAAAATATAATACCCATAAAAAAATTCCAGCAAAGTAGCATTTTCCTTTCCAAAGCGGCATGTTTGCTTTTTAACATGTATGACAACTCACTTGTCATTTCACCCATCTAAATTTTCACCAACTTGTCAACTTCATCTGTTTGCAACATGGCTAAGAATAAAATACCAAGCCGAAAAAGAGCTCTTTGAAACTAGACAGGTATTACAAAGTCCATTTCTGAAGCTCATTTCTTTTATTCATAGAGAGTTCCCTTTCATAGACCACTTATTCTTACTTTACAAACAGTGTTAATGAATGTAGGTTTCCCGCTTCCAAGCTCATGGAAGATTAGAAGTTGCTCACTGGGACAGAGAGAGGGACCAGCATTCCGACAAAAGCAGTCCTGTATCAGCTGATCACAAGACTAGAACCTAAATATATAAAGATCAGATACAGGGTGTCCAAAAAGCCTCTGGGATCATTCAAGGACACATTGACTTTTTATACATCAATAAAGCCCAAGGAAACATCCCTCCAAATGCTAAGCCACTGTTCCAAGTTTAGAACAGGTTTCCTGTTCTCCGTTTAAGAAAACAGTAGTGTAAACTAGGGGTCTGCAAACTACAGCCTATGGGCCAAATTGAGCCTGCCGCCTGTTTTTCTATGTCCTAACAAGCTAAGATTTAAAATAAATAAATAAAGAACACTACATGAAAATATGAAATTCCAGAAATCCAATGTCCATAAATAGGGTGTTAGTGGAATGCAGCCATCCTTTGCCCCCATGGCTGCTTTCATGCTACAAGAGTAGAGTTGAACAGTTCCAACAGAGACTCTATGGCCCATGAAGCCTAAAATATTTACTCCCTGGCCCTTTATTAAAAAAGATTGCCAACCCCTGGTATACACTGTAATTGAGAAATATCCTAGTCTCAAATGGTTAAAATTTAAAAAAGGGTTTTGGGGCTCTGTTTCCTGGCAGACCCAGCTCTCCAGAATGACACATTCTGTGAGGTGTCCAGATATGTGAGGCTTATTTTCTTTCACCTAAGATAACAATGTGGTTCTTTGCTGCAGATAACGAAGGGAAGAAACATGAGCACCTGTCCTCCATATTTCATGGAACACAAATCATGTGTTTCTTTTTTTTAAGTTCTTTTTTTAAAAAAGATTTTATTTATTTATTTGAGAGAGAGAATGAGATAGAGAGAGCACGAGAGGGAAGAGGGTCAGAGGGAGAAGCAGACTCCCTGCTGAGCAGGGAGCCCGATGTGGGACTCGATCCCGGGACTCCAGGATCATGACCTGAGCCGAAGGCAGTCGCTTAACCAACTGAGCCACCCAGGCACCCCACAAATCATGTGTTTCATGAGTGGTGGAAGATTTTAGTCCAATGAGATATATATATCAAGATAGTTTACTTTCCAAGGTAGCGATTTAATTACTACTAATTTTTTTTTTCTGGAAAACTAAGTAGCAACAGACTCTGGTTCACTCTTCTTACCACCCTGCCATTTCAACCAGTGCCCATGAATCTCCAACATTAAGAAGTTGTAGGTAAGTTCTTTCAAGAATGCAACTAACTATGTGGATTACACTCAGCTTCTCCTGCAGTGCTCAGGTATGGGCTTCTTAATTTTTAGCCTCTCTTTTACAGATTGGTAAGATTTCTCTTTAAGTCTTACCTTCAAAATGCCAAGGCTGGGTGAGAATTTCAGCAACTCTTCTATAACATCATTATAGCCTTTGTTGGCTGCTTTGAGTAATGCTGTTGTACCATCCTTAACAGAGAGGAAAAGAAAAGTTGCCTATTAACGTGTGTTGGCTAAGAACTAAACGTTAGTTGAGAACCGGGAATATGCTTATCAGAACAGGTGAAAGGAGTAAACCAAAGTATAAGCAGGCCACGTCTCTTAATCTAGGAGCTATTTTAGAGCCTATTCAGTTCTGCATGAAAGAATGCTAGACAAAATACGTGACTTATTATCTTAGAACCCTGCCATTTAGGAACTCAGACTCTTCCAGTCCCTTAGGACACTGGGTAAGGGGCGAGGGGAATGTCAAGAGTATATTTTAGGACACAGATGGACCAAAGAGGCATTGTCTGCAGTTCGTGACTTAGTGGAAATTAATGTTAAAGTATTTTTAATGACTTAAATAATTACCGAACTATATTTACTGTTTTACATTTTGCATCTGCTTTTCTGTTTGCTCTGTCTTATATACAACCTTGCTCTAGTGTGCCCTAGGTATCTGTCTGTGGGGGTTGGGGTGGGTAGGTGGTGAGTAGGAAAGGGATAGATTGAAATCTGTTAAAAAGAAATGCAAAAAGGCAAAAATTTATAGCCAGTTTCTGTCATCACTTTTTGGCCTGGGAAGAGATTTTCCAAATTCCGTTTTTCCCCCCTGCTTTTACATATCAATTGCTGTATTTGGAGGATTCAGCTCACAGAATTCTGTAGGAAAGGAAATATCCCAGCCTGCTCTAAAGGTTTAACTGGAATCAGGAAGAAAGAAAATGAGATTAGAGGGTTCTTCTTTTCTGGTTTCAGAGATGTGGGAAGAAGAGATGGAGTGGGAGAGAGGACAGTGAAGTAGGCAGGAATGTGTCTTTACCCCTTTCTGGGCTCAGACATGAAGAAGGGAGGTGGGTCACATAAGCAAGGGTAATACTAAGGGGAGAAAGGCCAGACACTGTAAGAACCAAACCAAAGCAAACCCAAAACGCAAATGGCATAGTGTGGTCAGGCAGCACAGGGTCTCCCTAAGCTGCCCTTAGTTTCTACCGGCCACAGGGCCTGCTGTGGGGCCCATCGACGCAGACTTAGCTGATATTAGCATTATTAGGTGGAGGCCAATGGCGGATGTGGTGCAGGGGTCTGCAGCTGGGGAAGCCGGATGAGGTGGAGCCCCAGGAGCACCGCGGGACCCCAAAACACAGAGGCTGCGCCCCGACCTGCACTGCGGTCCAGGGCCAGCAGGAGGCGTAGCGCAGGCGCACGCGCAACCGTAAGGGACAACCCGAAGGACAGCCCGAGGCCCGGGCTCCTACCTCCCGCATCCTCCCGGGTTCATCCAGGAGTCAGCTCAGGTGGAGGAGGATCTCTGAGGATGAAACATCTTTCCCTTAGGGAGACTGGGTAGCACTTGCTAAGTTTCAGCTGACTCGGACATTTACTTTGTTTTCCTGTTGAAGAGCTGGTGGACGTTAGGAGAAAACCCAGGGGAGATACAGATCAAATAAAGGCGCGTTTTCTCCGCACGTCCAGGGTTGAATTTTGGAGCTTCGTCGGTGCATGCACTACCCGCGCCACCCCCTCCCCCAGCCCCCCACGTGCTGCAGCTGAGGCTCAGACTCACGTTGCGGGCGGCGTCCCGGTCGGCTCCGCGCAGCAGCATCACCCTCACCACCTCGCTGTGGCCCATCTGCGACGCGATCCACAGCGGCGCCGTCCCGTCCTGCCGGCGAGGGGACACGCTTGCTCCCACCGGGCCACCCAGCAGCCGCCGAGCAGCAAGGTAGCACCCACAAACAGCCTCCCGACGACACATGAGGACGGAGATTTTAACCCAGTTACACAGACGGGCATTTGGTAGTGCCTGGAACACCTGCGTGATTGCCAATATTCGGGTTTGGGCTTATAATACAGCCATTTTATGGCAGGATCTTTTAGCCCATAGTTTGGTGCGGGACTTCAGGGAACGCGGAGTGGGAAAGTGGTGGAGTTGCTCACCAAGGCAGAGCCAGATTTGACAAACCCAGGGAGGAGAGGCCAGCATGTGTTTATTTCCCCCAGATTCTGTCAGTTTGTTTGCTTTACTGGTGGGTTCACACAACACACCCTGCTTAGTGGGGGCCCTCGTTCCCACAGGAGAGAGGGCAGCTTTCTTGGAGATGATGTGTGAGGGTCAGAGAACTAAAGACATTTCTCCCACTCTTCTATTCTGGTGTCTAGAATCCCCCACAGCCAGTCATTTTTAGGGACTTTAGTTTTATGCAGGATGTGATATGATTTCTTCTGGGATGGGATGCACACTAGCGAGTCATAGCAGGGTGACATTTATTGGTAATATTTCCTGAGTATTGTGCCCCCAAAGAGCCTGTTTTGTGAGCACGAGGCCATGAAGCAGAGAGGTGTTGCTCCAGAGAAGAAAAGGTGAAACATCCAAGGGAGGGAGAAGGATTTGATAGGAGGGTGGTTCCTGCCAGACAGAAAGGAAGACAGAAAACCCTTCTAGTGCTGGAAGGAAGCTCTAGAGAGGGCGTGGGGGAGATGAAGGTGAGACGTGTGTGTATGCGTTTTCCTCCTGGCTTGAATCTGGGTTAGGTAAGCGCCCAGGTAAATTATGGTGAATTCCAGACGGAAAAGGATTTTCTCCTGTTCTTGGGATGAAACCCAGGAAAACTGAAAGCCTCTTAGAGAAGCTCTGCTCCTGGCTGGTGCCTGAGAGAGAGAACAGAAATGGGTGAAGGAGTCTGGGCCAATGGGCCCGAGACATCCCCCAGTACCCCTGGTCCTCATCAGTGAGACATCTGTGCACCTGGGAGAAACTGGAAGTGCTGGGTAAACAGTGGCCTGGACTCAGCCTGGGGGTGGGACGATAAGGCCATAGAAGGTCGTGATTTCATGATGACGGGCCAACAAGGTACCAGTGCAGGATACTCACAGACAGGAAAGGCTGGACAAACCAGCCCAAGGACCAGACATGAGTGTCCCCACCCCACCTTAATGCCCGGGTGGTAGGCTGACCTCTGAGGACTTAGGCCACTTTGGAGGGAAGGGCAAGGAGGAAGGCGGAGGAACCATAACTCACTAAACTTGGGCTCTGAGGTAATGAAGGTAATATGGCCCCCTGGGACTGTTTCGGTCAGCTAAGGCTGAATTTACTCATCAGTGGGAATGGGGGCTGAAGGATGATTCATTAGAGAACATAAAGGTTCATTTTCTGCTGCAGTATATAATTTCAACTCCAGTCTACTAGCCACAGCAGACACAGGATTCTTGCCCATTGCTGTCCTGGCAAAGGGACAGAGGACAGAGGCCTGAGTGGGGTGGTGGGGGATGGCAAATCAGGAGCCTGGAAGGATCCGGGGGTGCTGAGGGATGGTAGGAGGACATGGGCACTCCTGTGTCTTGGGAGAGATGGGGAAGAGGTGCGGAATGAAACAGGGTGGGAGAAGGACAAACACCTGGAGCCACTTTACACTTTTACAAGGGCTTTGTAGGAATATTCTTGAATCTGAAGATTTATTTTTAGCAATAGAAATACCTTACTTTGTACTTTCGTTTACAAAGCATGTCTACATTCATTACCTAATTCGATTCTCCCAATTTAGAATCACTCATTCCTTCATTCACTCAACCAACCAACAATTATTAAGTATCTTCTAAGTCTCCGGCAGAATACTAAGGAAGACATGGTATGGTCTCTGGTCTCAAAGGAACTCAGTCTAGTGGAGAAGAGACATGGACATTTCAGGATGACTACAGTGTTATAATAAAGTATGGACAAAAGTGCCCAAGATGAGCCAGGAGAGGGGCCTGCTTACTGTGTGGGGGTTATGGAGGTCAGCTGGGGTGAAATCTGAGCTGGGCCTTAACGGAGGACTAGAATTTTGCCAGGTGGGGGGTGGGGGAGGACATTCCATGTAGAAGGAAGAGCATCTGCAGTCGCAGCGGCTTGGACAGATGTGGTTGGTTCAGGCAGGGTGGGAAATCCAGCGGACTGCGGCCCAAGGGGTGTGCGCTGGAACAGGGGCGGGGCGGGGCGCGGGGTGGGGGGCAGGAGAGGGAGGCGGGCGCTGGAATCTCTTCCCACTCCTTGCCTGCTCTGGGCTCACTTGTTCTTTGTCACTATCTCCACTAGAGGGCAGGCAAGGAAAGGCAGCTGGCCGCAAAGAGGCCAGCCGCGGGCTTGTTCAACGTGCCTTCCAAGAGCTTGCTTGTTAGTAAAATGATCTTAATTGATACTAACATGTGGAAAAGTGTTGAGGTGGTATATTGGGAACAAATATTAATAGCGTCAATTCATAACAGTAATGCCAACACTGAACTTTTATCACTTTAAGTGCAATAGTCATGGTAGGTGGAAAAAGAAGCTGCCACTTTCGGGTTATGAGACCTTAGGCAAATCACCCTGAGCCTCTGTTCTCTTCAGCAAAAATGTTAGCCCCCCAGAGATACTCACGGAAACATGTAGGAAGGTGCTGAGCACAGGACTGGCGAGCGCGTGCTTAGAAAATACAGTCACTGAATCTGTGTATTTATCATGAAAAACAGTAAGCACCTTAATTTGTACTTTGGTTTAGAAAACACTCCACATGCTTTATTTGATTTTCCCAGTTTTCCTGTGAGATAACTGACTGAACAGATGGGAATGATTGGTAAAATGAGATTTGTGGTTAAACCCAGGAACTTGAATGTGAGTTGGAGCATTACGGTCAAATCAAAGTACTTATTACTTGATTATCTGGTTTGTGGAGAGAGGTTTTTCCCTTCTTCTGTACACCTCAGTTCCTGTTTTCTCTTATTTTTTCCTATGAAAATGATAGAAATTAAGTCAACTTGGCTCCTTTTTGTTGAGTTTTGAGAGAATTGGAGTAGGAAAAACATTTAAAAATTTATGTTTTTGAATACTTCCTGACAAAAATATATAGTTTTAAAATATGTTAAAACAAATCACAGGAAGTTAGGACCTCCCTGGTACCTTTTTAAGAAAAGGAAATAGGACACTTAGCTTGAAGAACACGAGATTCACAGGGTTATGACCGCTGTCATTTACTATTTGTGTGCAAACCAAACAGAAAGGGATTTAGACCAATTTCACATACCAAGTGGCACAAAGAGGGCTGCTGAGTAAAAGCTATGCAAAACTTTGGCTCAGTGTAATAAGACAGAGGTGGTGATGAAGGCTGGTTAAAGACTCAATAGTAGTAATGAGTCCCCCACGCCTGGAGGGGTTCAACAGTGGCTGATTACCACTCAGCAGGATTCTTAGAGAGAGGATTTATGTACTGACAGATGGTTACACAGGTGACTTGCACAGTTCCTTCTGACTGGGTTATCCCCTCCTTCCATCTGAGATAATTTCAAGTATCCTCTAATACATTTTTATAGATAGATCACATCATGAGATGGAGCCTATGACATGATTTGTATTAGAAAACTAAATGCTGGATCATTTTAGTTAGGGTCCTAAAGATTATTTAGAAAAAGTATTAAAACCATTTTGTTCCGGTTGGTGTTGAGGAGAATAACTACCATGACTTCCAGTGCTTTGACGAAACCTCAGATGCGAGGCCTTCTGGCCAAGCGTCTGCGATTTCATATTGTTGGAGCGTTCGCTGTATCCCTGGGGGTTGCAGCTTTCTATAAGTTTGCTGTGGCTGAACCAAGAAAGAAGGCATATGCAGATTTCTACAGAAATTATGATTCCATGAAAGATTTTGAGGAGATGAAGAAGGCTGGTATCTTTCAGAGTGCAAAGTGATTTGGGAATGTAAAGAATTTCTTTGGGTTGAGTTCCATTGAAGTCTGTCACTGACCTGTGTTCTGAACTGTGAAACACGAATACTGGCTTATGGAATAGTTTGTCTTGATAAATAAACAACTAACAAATAAAAAAAAAAAAACCATTTTGTTCCATGGGAATGAATATATTTAGTGGTACTAGTTCTTTGTTTCTGCTGCTTCTAGTCCTATATGAAACACATATATAGAACTGTTGAATCACTATATGATATACCTGAAACTAATATAACACTGTATGTTAACTGTACTGGAATTAAAGTAATAATAAGAGAAACCTCCGAAGAATCCCTGGAATTCAGGGAGTGTTAGTGACTTGCTTAAGGTCATGCAGTTAATAAGCAAAATGGACTGTGTTTCATTTCCTTAAGTTATCCATATCCCCATAACTCACAAGCTGCTCCCCACCCAGAGACGTGGCTGTGGTTCCCTAGCTGGCTCTCACAGTCTTCCTGGGACTGGTGTCCTGGCCATGAGCCCAGACCCTGCATCTGAGCCTTGTTCTAGTTTGCAGCCACCGATCACTATGTTTTTGGCCTTCTAAGCCTCACTGGAGCTCTGCTCAAACCATGGGGTATCTTCTGGAGTCAATATACCTTTTCAGAGTGCCTACCATGTGCAGAGGGCATGCAAGCAATGGGGCCTCCCTGTTGCTGTCTGCTTCCACCCCAAGCCCTCAGGACATTACATCAATCAACTAGCCCTACTTTCTCCCATTGCCCACCACTGGGTCTGCCCCTCCGAGCTTGCAACCTGGGAGGACCAGCACTATCTGGGCCCCAGCATCTCTGCATACAGTGCAAACCAAGGCTAAAGAAGACGTTTTATGACATGACCTTTCTGTCAGGCTTCAAAGAGAGCCTGATTAGCACATTGAGAGGACAAGTTAGAGATGAGCGATGACAGGCCAAACTCAGCCCTGGGTAAACACTCAGACCTTTGCCACACTATGAAAGTACTGTCTAATAAGCTGGATGAATTGCACTGGGAAAAGTATATATCAAAGAATTTTGTTGATAGAAAAACAGACTAGCCATCTTAGCTCGTGATTAAAAGGGCTTGACGTGTGTATCAACTCTACATGCTGCAGTCACATAGAAAGACTGAAGATGAGTTTTTAGCTTGACTATAGAGTACAATGATCTCGGTGACTCTTGACCTCTTTAGGATGAACGAGGAGGAAATATTTTTCAAGTTTCAAATCAAGAGCTTAGTCTTTCCAAAGTCTCCCTATGGATTTGAGATTCTGATTCCTTCTCACAAAAGCCTTAGAGAGGTTTTCAGTTAGTTCATCCATGATAGTTACAAGGACTACTACTGTTCGGATTCCCTGCAGCTCAGATCAAAGGTCAGCTGAATAATTTCAGTGCAACTCCGATAACATGTTGTCCAGGGTACCATAAAATGTAGGGACCCCAGAGAATGGCAAGGAAAAAAAATCATAAATCAGATTTTTCTAAAAACATTAAGAAATGAAATCGGGCAAACATCCTGGTCTTTGTTTTATAAATTCAAGAATTTTCTGACAGGGACTCCGTGTGTCAGCTGAGATTTCAGAATATGCTGGTGTCCAAATGCCCTGCCGATGTCATATTCTACCATTCACGGGCCATTTTAATGGAAACTTTTAATTATACTTTTTTTTTTTAACCTCCTCCTAACTTGTGACAAAGTCAGCCAGGACTACTATCACTTTTGCCATATTTATGACACTGTTTGTTTTCTAGGAAGGGAATTAAATATGCAGAGTTTACTGTTGTTTTTTTTTTTTTTTTTTTTTTTTTTGCAGAGTTTACAGTTCAAAGAAGACAGAACTTGGGCTAGTCTGACCCGGCTAGACAACCTTTCATTATTAGCTCATGGCAGGTAATAAAAAGATTATGGCTTGAAGGTAGAGTGGGGTGAATGTACCCTATAAAAAGGAAAAATTCCATTGCTTTTTTTCCTTCAAAGCTATTCTTTTATAAAACACTGTTTTTCTGAATAACCATCTTTTCAGAGTTGGATTCATAATTCCAAACAATTGCATTAGATGCAGTCTTTGAAGGGCATGTCACTTGCTCTTTGATCCGAGGGAGGGGTCCTCCCACGGCTGGACTAGGTCATCTGCTTTGACCAGGTCATCCTCATTGTGAGGAATGAAAACCGCCGTGGGGGTGTGGCTACCATGGTACTGTTAGCACACTCTTTAATTTCTTGGCTTCGGCGTCATCCTATGACTCAACATGGGTTCGAGTGGTCACAATCCATGCACTATTTGAAATATAATCTCTTATATCAACTTGTCTTTTTTTATGAATAGTACCTTAGGCATATGGTTAATACAATTTATTTTACAAATAGATTTGTCAAAGTGCCAGGGTTTATTTCAGAAAGATGTACAGACGGAGAGGCCTGATAGTCTTGATAATCTTTCATTTCTAAATTCACGGTGGTACCCTCAATAATGGCCTCCAAGTCAAACTTCTGCAATCTAAAAATGATCAGCTCTGTTTATTAACTTCGGCAAAGTGAAGCGTCTGATTCAGAACCAATCAATACTTTCAAAATAAGAAGGACCAACAAGAAAATATTAAGCTCCAATCCCCAAATGTCAACTCTGGTAGGTATAGAAGTGCAACTTCTTCTAAAAGCTTTCCTTTCCCAAGAGTATTCCTGGGGCCATCTAAATCTAAGAATATCTTTAAAATTCTAAAAATTTAATCTCACATTTATAGCAGTACCTGGCATATGCTAAGTGCTTAAGAATTCTGAATAATGAATAAAACAGTTATTACAAAGGGGGATCTTGAAGAGATTGTCAGGATCATCCTGTCCAACCTCCTAATTTTCAGATGAAGGAAGAGAAGTCCAGAGAGGTTGATCCACTAGTTTCAAGCCACACAGCTAGTTATTGGCGGAGCTGGATCTAGACCTCAGGATTCCTGACCTCAAACCCACTTTGCCCAAAAGGGAAAGTGGGTTTTTCAGCTTCCTATGTGCTTGGACTTCTAAAGACTGAAGAAGCCTGGGGCCAAGAGCTCAGACCAACCTTCCCTATGTGAACATATAGGCATATGTTACATTATGTATTAGGTTACATTACAGTGGGGATCTGCCTGGGTGTCATTTACTGGGAAGAAATCAGCTTGGCTTTTCCCGAGAAAACTACCTTTAAAGTAATGTTACTTTAATCTGAAATGTTTTGTTAAAAACAAATTAATTAGTGCAGAAATCATTCCAATATAAGAGAAGCTAATTACAATGCCTTAGATTTGGATGGTTCTTTACTATTCATAAAGTATGACCTATATTACCTGGTAGTTCTGTTCCTTTAAGTATCAACTGATTTGCTAGATGTTGGCTTGCTGTTGGTAAATTAATTCTCAGTGGTGTTATAATTGTGAGAGATGAAAGGTGTGGAACCTAATAATGATTCCCAGTGGGTAATGGGCTCCTCTTTGGTGTGGTCAAAGAAGAAACGGGGGTAAGAGATGAGGCAGCATATCAGCGGAGAGACGGGGCAGGGGCAAGGCTACCTGACTCACCTCTGTTTACCTATGTCCCAGGCTAGCCCACTCTCCTGACCTCAGCGCAGCCATAATTTATTTGAACAGGAGGTGGCCGAGTATGTACTTGACCTCAGACACCAAACACCCACGTTTCCAAAACAGTAAATGGTGAAGTCAGCCTGGTATCACAGGCTTGCAGGTGAGCCCAAAGCTAAGGACAGGAGAAGCCCTAATCCAAGATTAACTTCATCACCAAGGCGAAAGGGTTGAATGACGCCCAGAATTGACCAGTTATCTCAGGAGCTGCTGCAGGATGGCAGGCCCTCCCTGCCCCACCGCTCTGTGCACTCGGACATTACCTGCCTTGGCTGGTTGACTTTTGCTCCTGAAGACAACAACAATCGAATCACATCCAAGTAGCCACCTTGGGCAGCGAGGAAGAGAGAAGTGGCTCCATCCTGAGAGAGGTCAAAATGAAAGGGTTCGAATCATCGTTCACATTTATTTTAAAAGACTCCAATTAAAAATGCATCCATTTAATACAACTTTCCATTTCTGTCCCCCACTTTGTTTTCATATTCATGGTTAGTGTTTTATTCTTTGAAGAATAGTTCTAAAATATCACAGTAAGTCAGGTGGAAAGGTAACATTTCAAAGAGTCTTATAAGGATAAGTTATAATAAATGTAATGACTGTTCACTCTACACAATCTTAATCATGGAGCTTATGATCCACCCCCTTGGCAGCAGCCTCCAGGCTTGTCCAAATAGCCAGTCATCATTTTTCTCTCCTCTGCACAGGCTTCTCGTTAGCAGCCGCCTGCTTTCGTTGTGGGATCTCGGGGTTATCCCCCTTTTGATTAGTTTAACAAATACGTACATTTAATACGGTTTTCCACTTCTTTTGTCAAGTAAGGACTCAGTGTTAGTTTAAAAACAAACACAATAAAATCTATTAATAAAAACAACAAACAAGTCCCCCAAACCTGTTTGGTATGTTTTATGAATCAGAAATAAAAGTGTCCTTTTAATTAGATCTTTCCTACCCCTTTCTCTTTATTGCCCCTTTATCCACGTTCCCCCCAACATGCCATTTTTCCAAGCTTTGAAACAAAAGACACTTCTAGAAAAACTGCCCTGGTGAGACTATCCATGAGCTTGCTCCCTGACAGCCCAGTAGACAGCACCTAGACCTATAAACAACGAAGCAGTTCTGCAGAAAAGCTCAAAGCAAGCGCTTGCTTCCAGTTTTCTTTAGTGGTTTTTTTTTTCTTTTTAAATGAGTCTATGTCTTCAGGGCATTTCTTTCTTAAAGACATGTCATTGGTAATGGCAGCAAAGACAGCAATCAGCTCAGAGCACGCATCCTCCCCAGATGTTCACTTCACGTAGACAGCATTCACTGAGCTTCATTATTTTTAGACCACAGTGGAAAACCCGAGCACATACTAGTGGAAAACACCTCACTAACCCAGTTAATTACCACCCCTCCCATCAGGAACATTAACCACAAGTTAAAATACAAAGCGCTTTTCCCTGCAAGTCCAACCAGGTGGAGGGTGCTGGATTTCTGGTGGGTGTCTGCTGAGTTGCCAGACTCCTCTTAAGGCAATCATTAAAAAATTACTCAGCTTGTATAGATCTTTAAGCAGATATTTGATATGGGGATGAAATGTTCAGCTGCTCCTTACTGTGTTGTCACAGAAAGTCCACCGTGCTCTTAGCAGCCGTTAACTCTTAGAAATTTTCTAAGATGGATATCCAAGCATTGCAGTTTTTACTGCACACGACACATTTCTTCTGTTCCTAGAAGATTTCAGGAGTCATTGACTTGGGGATCCTCCATGTTTCAATTGTTTTTAGTGGAAACAATTATATTTGGATGCTTTGGGTAAGAGTAAACGTCTTAACATAAAATGGAAGTTTCAGTGCATGAAATTTCTTGAGTCACTTCATAACAGAGGAATTTAGTACAGGAATGGGCTCTCCCCAAACTCTGCATTTCTAAGATGATGTGCCACCCTGGGTGAGCCTTTTGGATGGAATGTACTAACAGCACAACTATGCCAGTCAATCTGGATTGTTGACTATCAGTGGTCATGGGATGAAAATCACAACTCATTTTCCTTTTCCAAAGACTTGGGCTCTTCCTGTTCAACCACACATATATGTATGTACACACACACAGACTCATTCATGCTCTCAGATATACTTCATTATATGCAGCCAAAGAAATAGCCAAAGCTGTAGACCTCTGTTCCCTTGGCCTTGGCCACCCATCAGAACCATCTGCTGCCCAGTTGTGCCCTCAGAGATTCCGGATTAGTCTGGAATGGGCCTGGAAGACCCCCCCCCCTTTTTTTTTCCAGTTCCCTACGTGATTCTAATGGCAGCCAGAGCTGAGAATCACTCTTTCAGACACAAATCAAGTAATTCAGTCATTCAATGGGAAAGCCACATGTTCAAAGGGTGTTACAGATTTTGAAGTGCAAAAGGGTGATGCTCGTTGCTATGCACTTCAAAGAGGTCTCTGATGTGGCAGTCAATCGTGTAAACTCAGGAAAGGGCGTGCAAATGGAAAAGTTCACATGGACACATCTCTCTACTTGTCTGTGAAAGTATGGTGCCATAGTGCTAAATATCTGGTGGTAGGATAGCCTAAAATACGATTCCTACATAACTGGTAGTAGGTTCTTTCCCTCCTCATGAAGATACTCTATCAAGTCACTTCATCTCATGTTTTATTTTTTTTGTTGTTGTTGTCCAAAACCAGAATAACATCTGCCATAAATCCTTTGGAATGACGGTGACAATTAAAAGAGCCTTTAGGCAATGAGCTAATTGTCAATTAACTACAACAGACCCACACTTGCGGTAGATGCCTCTTGAAGGCCGATGGTGTGCATGTACTTCACAGTTCACCACCCCAACCTCACTTCTCTTCCAAATAACTTGATTTCTCCTTCATGTGTGCTCTTCCTCCTGGATAACTCTATGACAGGAGCATTATTTTGCTTTTCAGCAAGTCCATATGCTGGGCTGGTTATCTTATGGGTAAGTACGTGTCACATGATTTTTGAAGATCCTAACTACATACAATCTATGAATATTTCATATGTACAAGAGTTTTAAGAGGGTAGAACAAAGATCGGTAAAGAAGATTATGTGTTTCTCCACAGAAAAAGCTCATCTGGTTAAATCTACCTTTTTCTTTGATGTCTCAGATTAAAGTCCTACTGTTCATTAAAACATTTTTGAAGGTGGCATTTCCGGCCTCTGAATTTAGACTGCAGCGCTGTGTGGGAGGAGGGGATAGGCAAGGGTCCACCTAATATGCCCTTGAAAACGCACTCACGTAGAGTTGGTCGTGGATGTTGGCTCCATGCTTCAGCAGCGTCTCCACCACCTGCATGTGCCCATACTGACTGGCAGCCAACAGGGCCGTGCCCCCATCCTGCAAAGTGGCAACACGTTAGAAAGTGTGCAGGCACACGTTTACCAAGCAGATGCTCCTTACAGAGGGAGAGCTTTGGAAAAGACTTTCCCCATAGATAACAACAAACTCACTTTTCCTTTTTCATCTCTTTCTCTTTATATTCATGACAGGGTTCCTCCTAAAGGCATCACGCAGTACAAGTGGATGACTTGCTTGGGATACATTGCAGTTACTGGACTATGTTATTGTGAGTAATTCCCCAGGTCAAATGCAGAATCATCTATTTGCCTCTCAATAAAGGAAATGAAGCAGAGAAAGTCTGTGCCAGTCAGTTCTGTCTTGGAATTACCCAAATAGTCTCCTGTGTCTTTTGGCTAGAGACCCGCTTGACAAAGGCTGGCTTCTCCCTGTGGTTTCCCCCCCAGCTGCAGGCCTCTGAGATTAAGGTGAGTTATGGATTAACCGTCTGGGGCCATTATCTTCAAGGGACAAGGTCTGTGTCCATTAAGAGTGGATAACTTTTGCACTGTGAGCCTCTCACCATCCTACTTGGCATTTTCCTTTGAACATGTGCCAGTTTGTCCAGATCTCTTTTAAAATGTGGGCCCTAGAACGGATCGGAGCCCAGAACAGTAGATGTGGTCTGATGGGGAATGGGACATTCCTTTTTTCCGTCTACTACTCTACTTTTATCTCGACAGCGTAAATTAGAATTAGCTTTTATGTCAACCACATCACACTACTGACTCACTGAGTCTGTGGTCAACTGAAACCCTTGATGGTTTTTCTCAGGTGCTGCAGCCAAGGCATTATCTTTTCCCATCTACAACTGGGGAGCTGTTTGTTTGGCTCTGCGAATTGGTCTGTGGACATCTGTGCTAATTGTAAATAACGCAGGAACATGTCATTTGGTTCTAAAATACAAATCATAACTCTAGGATAGTGTGGTGTCTACATCTGGGGTATAGAGTGTTTATCCAAAATGCCTGCCCTCTGACTCCCACCCTCACAGGGTCTGATTCTGGTGAGGCCCAGAAACAGGCTTTCTGACCAGTCACGTGAGGGGGCTGTGGTGTGAAGGTGGCAGGTGGTCCTCACTTGGAGAAACGCTGTCGTAAGAGCTCCCTTGTTCACAGGCTGTGGCAAGGGGGCACTTGAGCTGTGAGGGCTGAGGCTGGTGGTGGGGGCCAGTGTGGGTGGGGTGTGGGGCAACAAAAACTGCAATAGTAGCAATGAGCACCACCATTTCCAACTTCCGTTCTGTCGATTTTTCTCTTTGCCTAATGAGGTAAGAGAGTAGATAAAATATGGTGATTGTCATAGAAGAGCTGGTACCTTTTATTTTTATTGTTTATTTATTTTTTAAGTAGGCTCCATACCCAGCGTGGAGCCCAATGTGGGGCTTGAACTCATGACACTGAGATCATGACCTGAGCTGAGGTCCAGAGTCAGACACTTAACCAACCGAGCCACCCAAGTGCCCCTGTACCTTTTACTTATTTACTTATTTTTAAAGATTTTATTTGAGAGAGAGTGCACGCGCCTGCATGCATGCGTGTGTGTGTCTGTGTGTGTGTGTGTGTGTGTGTGTGTGTGTGTGTGTACAAGCAGGGGGAGGGGCAGGCAGAGGGAGAAGCAGACTCCCCGCTGAGCAGAGAGCCCGATGTGGGGCTCAATCCCAGGACCCTGAGATCATGATCTGAGCCAAAGGCAGACGCTTTACCGACTGAGCCACCCAGGTGTCTTTGTACTTTTTATTTTTAAAAACACATTTTGTGGGATATAGCTTCAATAACGTTGAGAACAATTGTTGAAACAAAGGCAGTTTTGATGTCAGGATCATATGAAAACTCAACACCTCTCGAACACTCTCTTCTTCCCATGGAAAGTTCTCGGACACCTGCAGTTGACCTAATGGAAACATTTGGAATTGCGCTCTGGGCCCCCTGGTGCAGGGACAAAGGCTTTAAAGCCAGCATTAACTTGTTAACCAAGAAGACTGAAGCAGCCATATGGTGATGCATGATCATTCTGACTTAGTTCAAAGAGTTGAGATTTACATTTGTCGAACCTTACTTTCTATTTTTAGTTGTATTACTTTTATAATGACAAATAAAATGATAATATAAAAATATACACACACATATATTTTGGACTATTGTATATTATATTCAGCATTTACAGAGGCATGTGCACCATGCAATGGCACGTTCAGAACAGACTGATCCTATCTGAAATTCAGTTCTACTTAATAGCATCTTAACAGGAAAAGAAAAAAAAGAACACTGGAAACTCCCCTGATATCCAAATATCACATACAAAGGATTAAGAAAGCCTAAAACATTCCAAGTAAGGCAAATTTCTAGGAATTTTTTTGTTTGTGATTAGGCTGGAAATAAGTTGATAATTCCAAAAATGTTAAAGCAGTTCAAATTCTCCTACTATAAACCGTTATCATGTAAAATGATATCATGAACACAAAATTGAACTTTCTGCAACCTAAGTTTTCTTATCTGTGTGTCGAACATGAAGAATCAATGACTTCTTTAAAGGAAGAATCACATTTCCTTGCCCAACTATATAAAGTGTAATCATGTATTACATAGTTCAGTGAGGACATCTCAGAAAGTAAACTGCCTGTCAAATCGCCCTCCTTAGAAATCTCTCAGATTCACTAAGAGTGGCTTAAATACTTTGACAGTTCCTATCAGAGCACTGGGATTAACCTTGAAGTAAAAAAAAAGCCCATGAAAACAGGGAGTTACAAAACACCTGCTACTGTATCCATCCTGATAACAAAAATTAGTGTCCCAAAAATTAGTGTCCCAAAGCTACCAGTGCAAGACAGACTCTAAATAATTCCCCATAAAATTATGAGCCCAGAGTAAAAGTGTCATTTTTTTTACTTTTATTAACATATGATATATTATTTGTTTCAGGGGTAGAGGTCTGTGATTCATCAAAAAATGTCATGTTTTGAATTGACTCCCTAGGACTACCTCTGAGCCATTACAAGTAACTTTGTGAAACCCACCTCCTTAGGCTTGAAAATCTTATAAAAAGAGTGGGCCACCTGGGTGGCTCAGTCAGTTAAGCATCTGCCTTTGGCTCAGATCATGATCCCAGGGTCCTGGAATTGAGTCCCATGTCGGGCTCCTTGCTCAGCGGGGAACCTGCTTCTCCCTCTCCCTCTGCACCTCCCCCTGCTTGTGCTCTCTCTCTCTTTCTCTCTAATAAATAAATAAAATCTTTAGAAAAAAAAGAGAAGCACAAATTCACACTATGGATGGAGAGACATGAATACTCATGATTGCTAACGTTTTTCAACAGGGTATGAAATCAAGAAAGTTCTCTTACTTTGGTCCTAAATTCAGTGGATGCTCCAAATTCAAAGAGAAATCTCACGACATCATTATGTCCTTGCTGGGCAGCAAAGAACAGGGCAGTTGTACCTGACTAGGAGAGAACAAGCAGCTGGTTTTAAGACATTTAGTTACATTACATTTGATTTATACATTTGCAAACTAAACAAAATATCCTTGTACGTAAGCCTTCTAACATAGGAGGGAGCTACATTTGAACTGATATTATTCCTTGTTCAGAGAAGTGAGAATATGAAAGGAGAACTTTACTGTTTGTATAACGGGATGCATGGTGGACCCAAAAGATATGTCCTTGTCCTAATTTTTGGAACTTGTGAATATTACCTTCTGTGGCATATGATGTGATTAAGGATTTTGGGAAGAGGCACTTATCCTGGCTTATCCTGGTGCGACCTCAATCCAGCGACAACTGTCTTTATAACAGTGAAGTAGAGACCCATTTGACACAGAAGAGAGGAAGAAGCAATGTGACCACAGAGGCGGACGTTAGGGAGTTGCGGCCGTAAGTCAAGGAATGCCTGCAGCTACCAGAAGTTGAAAGAGGTAAAGAATGGGTTCTCTCTTGGGGCCTCCAAAGGGAAACACCTTGAATTTTCTGGCCTCCAGATCCTAAAAGTATAAATTTCTGATCTTCGAAGCCACCTAGTTGGTGGTAATTTGTTACAGTGGCCACAGGGAACTAACCATCATGCTTGCTAACATGGGCATTCCTTCATACAGGAAAGAATTCCGGCAGAGTTCTGGTTACAAAGTTAAGCACCCCAGAGTAGAATGAATCTAAGTAATTCACTCAAACGGACTCAAAATATTTCTCAAAAGAGGACACAGGAACAAGAAACAGCCTGGTTCCAAATCTTAAACGGGATCAGTGTTACTCGGAGATGCAAGTTTTCAATTAGCAATAATCGCGCCTCGGATAAACCTCATTGGCTACGATACTGCCACTGCGCAAAGCTCGGAGATGCAAGTTTTAGCATCCTCTCTTCCCAGCCATTTTTACAAGCCTACTCAAAGATTGGTAGCCAAATCGTTGTGTGATAGGAGCGAATTCATCAAACTGTTCTTGTGGGCAATATATATTTTTCATATAAAGATGCTCTTCACTCCAGTGCTTTGAGCAGGGATGAAGCTAACATTACACTTTGCCAGGCACAGTGAGGAGAAACACCTTCCATGGCTTACCCAGAAGTCTTAAAGTGGTAGGTTCTCACCCTGGTGGGAGAAGCCAGGAGGATCAGGCCCTAAGGATTACTGATGACTCTGAAGCTTGTTCTTAAGTGTGTGTGTACATGTGTATGCATGTGTGCGTGTGTATGAGACAGGGAACAATGAGCCCAACCACTGTGGCAGAACACAAGCCAATACCTTCCCAGTCATGACCTTCTATCTCAGGTTATGCCCCCAACCAGACGCTGCCCTGGGGAGGCACAGGGCATGTGACCATTCCCAGAGCCTTTCAGCCTGCAACGCAGGAGTGATTTTTCTCCTTGGTTCCCACAGAAACAAGTGGGAAGTATCCTCTTATTGCTTTCTTACAGTGGAAAATGCTGAGATCCAGAAACCTGAAGATGTAAACAGGTCTGGATGAAGAAACGTGGCTAGCATAGGAAAACTCTCATCTTCTTAATAGACATTAAATTTTAGACACTACCAGAGATAATTTCTAGAAATTGTTTCTTCACTAAGAAAAAGGATTTTTCACTAAGGTTTTGTAATATATTAATTAAAAATCATATCAGAGCAGTTTGAGTCAATTTTGGAACATACACATACCATTAATCATTGTGCACATGAATGTGGCAATCTGTGGACAAAAGAACCAGACTTCAGTCTGGAACGTGAATAGAAGTCTTAAAAGCATGTGCTTTATTATTGTAACCCAGGGCTTCATGACAACTGCACACACAGTTCCTATCCCTGAGAATTTTAGCCAATATTGCTGGTTCTTTAGAGCAATGGTCTCTCTGGATCATTAGCCTCCTGTTCTTGCAAGCTGTGTACCTAGATGGCCATCCAAAGAAAACAATGACAGGTACTTTTTCAGGAAACAAAGTATTTTTTTTTAAGGAAACAAAGTATTTTGATATGGGTTAATTGGAAAAGTGGATTAAGAATGAACCCAGGTAGAAGCCTGCTATATGAGTAACTTCCATAGCACGGCTAGGTACTCTCTGATTGCAAAACAGATGAGGTGAGGCTGGGGCCTCTCTTTGGCAGCTCTATCACTGGAGGCTGACGTGGCCTCGGGAAATTCAGGAGACCACTGGGAACTCACATAGCATCATTATTTGAGCCACAAGGTTACCTCTAAATTGGGTGCACTTTGGTAAGTCCTTGAGGGCCATTTTGTTCAATGCACAATAGTTTTCATATCCAAGAATATGAGTTGCGCAGTTGGAACCAAACAGATAAATATAAAGCCATATAAACCATACATTGGCTGGAAAGCAAACAAATGTTTCTTTTCTTTCAGCTTTTCACAGTTGTTCTGAAGATATTTTTGTGTGTGTTGAACTCGCCCTTCAGGATAAAGTTTTTTGAGTAAGCAGATCTGAATCATATTGTTTTTATTAGAAAAAAATCTGTCTATTCTTTAAAGTTATAATAAACCAAGACTGTGAAGCATAAAGGAAAAACAAAAAGATTAGGGTAATTTCAAACTATAATTCTAAATGGGCCCGAACATTTTCCTCCCAGAAGGAAATTAGCTGCTGATGTGAAAAAGGGCCTAAAACAATGCTCCAGTGTTGTGAAAATTGCTCAGAAGAATCTGTCTGTGAGATTGGATTTGCTATAGTCTGTATGGCTCCTCTTGATAGATCAGGCTTGCTGGTCCAGGGCTATGGAGAACCAGACTCCAGATTCTATCCATCAAGTGTCACTCTTCCATGGTCCACAGCCAAGGTGACACCCAGAGGGGAGAGGGGAGGGACTTTACATGCCCCACGGAATATCCAGCCCTCACACCTGGGGTTTCCTAATTTGTTCCACTCAGAGGGAGCAGTCTAGCCTGGAAGATGGGGTGTACTGATTGATGAAAGTTTGGTTGATGACTCATTTTTTCTGAAACAACTGTAGGGCAGGCCCCTGAATAAGACTGGATCAAGGAAAATCAAGAGCTCCAGTTTGGTTTGGAGCTTGCCCCAGGATGCCATCTTGGGTCTGAGTTAGTGTGGACCGAGAGGTCAGATTCACTTTAGGGATGACCTAGAGGCCCTAGATCAGCTTGGAAATAAATGGATCCCCCTCAGATCAGACTCCCAAAGTATGTTAAAAGGCCCAGCCTCCCACCACTCTTCTTCACTGGACCAAGAATGAATCCTCTAGCCAGACTGAACTCCCAAGATGGCTTTTGAATGAAGCATGTGGACAGGCTCACATTTTAGTTCAATGTTCACTACATGGCCTTTTTGGGGAGAGCTTATCTAATACGTGGCCAATCAGAGAAGTCCTTTGAAATCATGGTTTGATGAAGAAGGCTGAGAGAGTCTAGCAAGTGAGCCTCATTCAGAATAGGTTGGTGACCCAATCCTCCTAAAAATACAATGATCTCTGTGAAAATCCTATAACTTCTATAGCACCTCATCCCAAGGGAAGAAGGCAGACCTGATTTAAGCTTGGGAGGAAATGTAGGAGTGCTTAGGGAATGTGGTTAGAGGTTTGGTTACCTCAGACTACAACACATGCTTGAGAACATTCATTCAATTCAAGTACAACCAATGGTCCATTTCTGGGCCTTATTTTAGGCACAGTAAAGTCTGCAATCTGGGCTTCAATGTCATGTAGGAAAAAAGCAATGATTACTCTTGTCTTCCTAACCAATTCACTACTGTAAAAATTTCAACTGTCACTTGGGTCATTCTTATTCAAGTGTAAACCTGACCTACCTCTCTCTGGAGATTGATGTCTGCTCCTTGCAGAACCAGTTCCCTCACACAGTCTATGTGACCGGCATAGGAGGCGACCATGAGGAGCGTGGTGCCATGCTAGATGGAGGACAGACAGACAACGGTTAGGCTATCATATGTCAGAGAGGGTCCTGGGGAAGAGGCTGAAGGGCTCTCAGGTCCACTCAAGACACGTCCAAGTGCAAAATTTCCCACTGTAATAAGTGTCTCATGAATAACCTTATAACGCAGAGTAGACAAGGAAAAAGCAAAGCGACAGATTGCTGAGGGTGGAGTTTTCAACCTAAAAACTCACTTGATTCCATTACCCGCAGAAATGCAGTCCAAGTGAACTATGATTACTGCATTTTAAACCAGTAGGGATATAATGGTCTCATTTTATGATTCATATTAAATGATTCCTGAGCCCAAACACTGCTTTTCATGTAAAAAATGGGTTAAGTGGTACCTGTTGGTTTTCTGAGTTTAGAAGTCTTTATCTTAAAACTGATTCAGGTAAAGATGCAAGGTACCTCAATGAAATGGGAAATCATAGTAGTCAGTCAGGAGCCGAGGGGTTCACGTCGGTCTCTATCATCAATCAACTGTGTCACCTGGGGGCAGGTTGCTTATAATTCCTGGGGTTTAGAGTTTAATTTACAGTTGTTTTTGAGGGCTTGGAATTGTGATCTTGACCACTACCCCTGCATATGCAGCAGCCTGCCTTTCTAGCGTGGACGAGAGAGAGACATGGTTCTGCATAGGAGGAAGGCTTGCTAGGTACAGGGTAATAAGTGAGTCTTACAAGCCTCGTTTTAATTTCACTGGTGGCATTTTGTAGGAAGGCAGTAGAGTTGAGTGGTCACTGACATTATGATCTTGGGCTAGTTATGGAACCTTTCCAAGGCTCACCCTCCTCATCCGCAAAACAGGGAATAATAAAAGCATCTGCTGGATTAAATCAAATGGGTAAACGAGATACTGCAGGCAATGTGCTTAGCATAGTAATGTTAGATATTCAGTAAGTGTTAGATATGGAAATATTATGATACTTCAGTAAATGTTAGGTTATCATCTGGCTTTTGTTGATTTTTGTGAATCTCAATACTAATTTTGGGAAAGTCTTGTTTGCTATGTATGAAAAGTACAGGTAGAGTAAAAAAAAAACAAAAAACAAAAAAACTAATGGCTTCATAGAAGTGTTCTATGATATTTTCTCTACTTCCATGTGACCGCATTTGGTATTTGAATGTTGGACATTCATTAGGCTGTACCAACCATTATTAAGTTGAACATCTTCCTCTGTATTTTCCAGGATTAGAATGGCATGTGGAAGCTGGTATTACTAACTTCCTCCCGAATGTGAACAATTTTTATTTAGATTGCAGATAGAAGAATCTTTGATTAAAAAACCAATCTGGAAGATTGCTGGGAAGACAGCGAAGTAGGAGGACCCTAAGCTCACCTTGTCTGATAGATACAATGGGAGTATCAATAGATATACAATGGGAGTTACAATAGATGATACTCTCACCAATGTTAAATAACCCAGAAAACGACCTGAAGACTGGAAGAACAAACTCCATAACTAAAGGTAGAGAAGAGGTCACACTGAAGAGGGTAGGAAGGGCAGAGATGCAGTGGGGAGGTGAACAGACCACTGCTGTATGCAGCGAGAGGCGGGTTGGGTGGGGAGGGAGCTGTGGAGAAGGGAGGGAAACAGATGATTACACCAGAGAGCCTGCAGGGGGGCAGATGAATCCCCATTATATTTGGTTCTGAAAACTAGAGGAGCCAAATTTCATGAGTTCTTACAACCAGCAGGACTTAAAGCCTGGAATTTTATTTTTTATTTATTTTTTAAGATTTTTATTTTATTTTTAAATTTTATTATTATTATTATTATTTTGAGAGAGAGCGAGAGAGCATGTGTGTGTGTGGTGGGGGACAGGGGAGGAGGAGCAGAGGGATAGGGAGAGAGGGGCGCCTGGGTGGCTCAGTCAGTAAAGCCTCTGCCTTCGCTCAGGTCATGATCTCAGGGCCCTGGGATGGAGCCCCTGCATCAGGCTCCCTGCTCTGCAGGAGGCCTGCTTCTCCCTCTTATGATCCTGAGATCATGACCTGAGCTGAAATCAAGAGTTTGATGGTTAGCCGACTGAGCCACCCAGGAGCCCCTAAGATTTTTATTTTAAGTAATTTCCACACCCAGCGTGGGGCTCGAACCCACAACACCAAGATCAAGAGTTAAACATGCTCTACTGACTGACCCAGACAGGTGCCCCTGGAATTTTAAAAATCAGTGGCTCAGCTCTGGGAGAGGATGGAGGACAAGAGGAACCTGAGTCCTTACCCTTAAAGAGACAGCACCACAAACAGCCCACAGAGATAGAGCATAGAAGCAGCAGTTTAAAAAATGCCTGGGGTATATGGGAGGGAGATTTGTTTACTAGTCTCAGAGATGTGCTGGAGGAGCCCGGATCATTGGAAGACTTCTCTAGGAACAAAGGAGCTGGTAGGTACCATTTCCTTCCCCTGCCCCCCAGCAAAAACATACGACCACCTGCAGGAACCAGCGCAGCACTGATATTCCCTACCTAACTGGCTAACACCACTCCCCCCTTACTTAACACCTGTGCATGTTGTGGCTCTGTCCCCTCCAATGTGCTCTTGGCTGGAGCTCATGCAAACCAGGGCCATAAGCCTGGTAGTGTGCAGGCAGCCCCAACAAGGGTCAGCACCACTCCAAAGTGACTCCTGCCTTGGAGAGAAGGAAAGATAACCACACAAGCAATCATACTGTGGCCCCAGCAGTGCAGACAGCTGGTCTGATTGCAGGCCCTGCCTGCCAATGAAAGCTTCTCAAAGGACAACACAGAGAAAGCACCCTGCAGTTTGGTGCTACTGCATCTCTGGCAAACACCTGGTCTGACTCAACTCAAGCCCAGGGTGAGGCCCAGACTGGCCCACTAAAACCACCAGGACCAAACACTGTCCAAAACAGCAAGGAGAGCCACTGCAGGTGCCTGAACTGAAGGGAAAAGTGGCTTAGCCACAACAGCAGGGCACACAACACATATGGGAGACCCCCCCTAAAGCACCAGGTTCTGGGGAACAGGGGACACTGCAACACAGGGCACAAGACCTCTTCTTCACAAGGCCACTACTTTCAAGAGTGGGAGACGTAGCTGACTTTCCTACCTAACACAGAAACATAGAGAATTAGACAAAATGAGGAGACAGAGGAATATGTCCCAAATGGAAGAATGGGACAAAACCACAGCAACAGATCTAAGCAAAATGGATATAAGCCATATGCCTGATAGAGAATTTAAAATAATGGTCATAAAGATACTCACTGGACTTGAGAATCTCAGGATCATGAGATCGAGCCCTGTGTCAGGCTCTGCACTGGGCATGGAACCTACTTAAAATTCTCTCTCTCCCTCTCCCCCTCCCACTTGTGCTCTCTCTCTTTCTCTCTCTCAAATGAATGAATAAATCTTAAAAACAAAAACCCAAACAACAAGACCCATCTATCTAGTGCCTACAAGACTCATTTCAGACCAAAAGACGACTGCAGATTGAAATTGAGGGGATGGGGAAACATTTATCATGCAAGTGGATGTCAAAAGAAAGCCTGGGGAGCAATTCTTCTATCAGACAAAGTAGACTTTGAAAAAAAGACTATAACAAGAAACAAAGAAGGATACCATATAATAATGAGACAATCCAACAAGAAGATATAATTGTAAATATGCACCCAACATGGGAGCACCCAAATATATAAGACAGTAACAAACATAAAGGAACTAACTGATAGTAATACAGTAAGAGGAGGGGACTTTAACAGCCCACTTACATCATGGACAGATTATAAAAACAGAAAATCAACAAAGAAATGATGGCTTTGAATGACACATTGGACTAGTTGGGTTTAACAGATATAGTCTGAATATTCCACGCTAAAACAGCAGAATACACATTCTTTTCAAGTGCACATGGAACATTCTCCAGAATAGATCACATATTACACCACAAAACAAGTATCAACAAATTGAAAAAGACTGTAGTCATATTATGCATCTTTTCTGACCAAAATGCTATGAAACTAGAAATCAACTATAAGAAAAGAAATCTGGAAAGAGCACAAATACATGGAAGTTAATAACATGCTACTAAAAAATGAATGGGTCAATGAAGAAATCAAAGAAGAAATTAAAAAAAAATACATGGAGACAAATGAAAATGAAAACACAAAGGTCCAAAATCTTTGGGATGCAGCAAAAGTGGTTCTAAAAAGTGAGTATACAGCAATATACACCTATGTTGAGAAGAAAAATCTCAAATAAACAACCTAACCTAACATCTAAAGGAGCTAGGAAAAAAAAAAAAACACCCAAAACCAGTAGAAGGAAGAAAATCATAAAGATTAGAGCAGAAATAGATGATATAGAAACTAAAAAAACAATAGAACAGATCAATGAAACCAGGAGCTGCTTCTTTGAAAAGATCAACAAAATCGATACATTTTCAGCCAGACTCATCAAAAAGAAAAGAGAGAGGATTCAAGTAAACAAAATCAGAAATGAAAGAGGAGAGATAACAATGAACAGCACTGAAATACAAATAATTCTTTAAATTCCTAGAAATATATAACCTACCAAAACCGAATCAGGAAGAAATAGAAAATTTGAACAAACCAGTTACTAGGAATGAAATTAAATTGGTAATCAAAAAACTCCCAACAAATAAAAATCCAAGACCAGATGGCTTCACAGGTGAATTCTACTAAACATTTCAGGACGCATTAATACCTATTCTCAAATTATTCCAAAAAAATATAAGAGGAAGGAAAACTTTCAAATTCATTCGGTGAGGCCAGCATTACCCTGGTACCAAAACCAGATAAAGACACCATAGAAAAAGAGAACTACAGGCCAATATGTCTGATGAACATAGATGCAAAAATCTTCAATAAAATATTAGCAAACAGAACTCAATAATACAGTAAACAATCATTCACTACAATCAAGTGGGCTTTATTCCTAGATGCAAGGGTGGTTCAATATTTGCAAATCAATCAGTGTGATATGTCACAT